GGTAGCAGAAGGCGGTCTCGTAAATACCCCGGTCCGATGCCATGGAGCGCTCTAAAGGTGGTAACCAAAACCTTGAAGCGCACCCGGAAGACCACCGGGAGCCAGTGCAGCTCGCGCAGGAGGGGGGGTCACATGGGAGCGCCACATCGCTCCCATAACCACCCGCATTCTGGACCAGCTGGAGCCTCCGGGTGCTCCTCAAGGGGAGCCCCAAGTAGAGAGCATTGCAGTAGCCCAAGCTATTATTTTTTGAAAAAAAAAATAAATAAATTTAAGATTGCTCCAACCGAGACCAAACCATGGCCAAATCAAACCATCATCCGCTCTTGGATAAACCCAGAAGCTGGGTTAATCAATCATATAACACCTTCCACCGACAGGCTTCTAACTGCGACACAATGCTCCTGCCTTAGGAACAGCTGACTCCCCAAGTGCTCGGCTGGACATTGCTTATTAGCAAAATGAGAAACCTGATCTACTGAAAGGAAAACACGACGCGGAGAGGAGGTATCTGGACTGCCGTTTGCAGCCAACCGCCTTCCTTCCCTTTCCTTCCTTCCGTGCAGATTTAATAAAAATCACCCAAGAATTCTCGCCGAGATCGTTTTTCTGGTAGCGCCGCTCTTAAAAAACTCTTCGCCTTTTCGTTGCTATCTATTGATACCGGATTTCCCACTTTTAAGGATGCGGTGCGCTTTGGCGCGCTGCTTTACAAAACCACCCCAAACTTCGTTAAATGCACGGCACTTTCTCTGGAGGAATTGCACACCGAGGCACCGCTAATTCTTGCACGCCGAAAAAGGATGTTTTGAGGTCTCTCGCGAACAAAAATATCTAGTCGTCGGCAAGGTGCGGGGAGGGGGGGGTTAGCAAATTCCTGGGAGAAAGGAATTGGGAAGCTGCTTAAAATCCCCAACCAGAAGCAACCGGTGAAAAAGCATGACAATATTACTTCCATTACGAGCGTCGCCTTCATCGTAGTAACCCCCCAAGTACGATCGCACGGGGAGATCTCTGCATTCAAAGAAAGCACACCCACCCACCCCTTTTAAAATAATTGCACAAGCGGCTTCAAATTGGCCTTCGTTCCTGCCGCATGGTTAACCCAATCGTGGTTTATTCCATGAACAAACCCCGTTGCAGGTTTACGCAGCTCTATCTGGGACAATGAGCTAAGAGCTGCGCTCATACTGTAGTCGGACTAAAAACGCCGCACAGAGGCTGGGAGGGATTTTTATAAACTCTCAAGACATCAAGTATTGCTAGATAAAAGGAGGAAAGAAAATGGGCCCCAGTATCCAACATCACTCTGTAGGCCAGAGATGATGATTATGGCTAGTTTGATGATGATTAAGGCACCAGGAAAACTAGAAAACAGGAGACTGTGAGTTCAAGTCCCAACTCAGCTACGAAAGGTTGCTAGGTGACCTTGGATCTGGGAGTTCTAGTTCCCACCTTAGGCACGTGACTCATCTCTGAGTGACTTTGGGCCAATCACCAGGAGTGTGGGAGTTCTAGTCTCACCTTAGGCATGAAAGCCAGCTGGATGACTTTGGGCCAATCACCAGGAGACTGTGAGTTCTAGTCCCACCTTAAGATATGAAAGCCACCTGGATGACTTTGGGCCAATCATCAGGAGACTGTGAGTTCTAGTCCCACCTTAAGATATGAAAGCCACCTGGATGACTTTGGGCCAATCACCAGGAGACTGAGAGTTCTAGTCCCACCTTAAGATATGAAAGCCACCTGGATGATTTTGGGCCAATCATCAGGAGACTGTGAGTTCTAGTCCCACCTTAAGATATGAAAGCCACCTGGATGACTTTGGGCCAATCACCAGGAGACTGTGAGTTCTAGTCCCACCTTAAGATATGAAAGCCACCTGGATGACTTTGGGCCAATCACCAGGAGACTGTGAGTTCTAGTCCCACCTTAAGATATGAAAGCCACCTGGATGATTTTGGGCCAATCATCAGGAGACTGTGAGTTCTAGTCCCACCTTAAGATATGAAAGCCACCTGGATGACTTTGGGCCAATCATCAGGAGACTGTGAGTTCTAGTCCCACCTTAAGATATGAAAGCCACCTGGATGGCTTTGGGCCAATCACCAGGAGACTGTGAGTTCTAGTCCCACCTTAAGATATGAAAGCTACCTGGATGGCTTTGGGCCAATCACCAGGAGACTGTGAGTTCTAGTCCCACCTTAAGATATGAAAGCCACCTGGATGACTTTGGGCCAATCACCAGGAGACTGAGAGTTCTAGTCCCACCTTAAGATATGAAAGCCACCTGGATGACTTTGGGCCAATCATCAGGAGACTGTGAGTTCTAGTCCCACCTTAAGATATGAAAGCCACCTGGATGGCTTTGGGCCAATCACCAGGAGACTGTGAGTTCTAGTCCCACCTTAAGATATGAAAGCTACCTGGATGGCTTTGGGCCAATCACCAGGAGACTGTGAGTTCTAGTCCCACCTTAGGCATGAAAGCCAGCTGGATGGCTTTGGGTCAGCCTTTCCCTCTCAGCCTAACCCACCCTCACAGGATTGTTGTTGTGGGGAAATTAGGAAGAAGAAAGCGTGCTGGGTATATTCACCGGCTCGAGTTACTTGTAAAAATTAAATAAAGGCAGGATACAAATCAATCCATCAATCAATAAAAAAAAAAAAATACTCATGGTACAGATCACTGTGGATTTCATGGAAACCCCTTTCAAAATTTAACGGAACATTAGCAAAAGAGCCTTGGTAGTACAGTGGTCTAAGGCACCCTGTTATTAAGCTGGTTATTAAGACCAGCTGCCTGCAATTACTGCAAGTTCGAATCTCGCCAGGCTCAAGGTTGACTCAGCCTTCCATCCTTTCTAAGGTAGGTGAAATGAGGACCCAGTTTGTGGGGGCAATAAGCTGACTTTGTATAAATATACAAAAGTATGAAGGCTATTGCTTAACGCATTGTAAGCCGCCCTGAGTCTCCAGAGAAGGGCAGCATAAAAATCAAAAAAAAAAAAAGGCTCCCATGCTTTTAAAAAACAAGTTCAACATCGGTTTGAATCCACGCTGTTTTTCCCAATATTCTAATTTTACCCCCTTTCCAAGGTCCAACTTTCAATCCCTTTACGGAACAATTATCCAGCCATTGCACACACACACCCCTTTTCCCTCCCCCCATTTTCGACTCCGCTTCCAGCATTTGTGATGTTCAGTTTTATAGCCAAACTTGGTATCACCCTACGGGCTTCAACCCGGTTAGTTAGCGTTTTTTTGGGGTGGGGGTGGGGGTTGCCAAGCACAACCAGGCAGACAGGGGTCTGGTGATAGTGGTATAAAAACCATTCCTCGCTGCCCAGCCCTTCCCCCCCCCCCACTCCTCCAGACCCCACTGAGCCGAGGCTCATAATGGCTGAATGGCAAATGCGCCTCTCTTGTGCCTCTCCGGGTGCTTCTCTCGCCCGCCCGCCCCGAAACCCTTTCGCAAGGCGACATCTGCTGCGGGAGTTGTTAACGCTAAGCCTTCTCGTAGGAGGCACAAGGATTTTCCGCTTGGGGCAAACCCCCCCCTCCCCAAAGGGCTGTTTGGAAAGAGGAGGAGGAAGGGGAGAAAGGAAGAAGACGCAATACTAGAAGTGGTTACAGAGGAGGGGGAAAAGGGGGAAGAAGAGGAGGAGGAGGAGAACGAAGAGGGAGATCAGAAGCGGTGGTGGTGGTGGGAGAGAAGGAAAAGAAAAAAGAAGGAAGGTCATCAGGGAAGTGGTGGAAGAAGAGAACGAGGAAAAGGAGAAATAGTAGCGCTGGGGAAGGGGGATGGAGAGAAAGGGGGAGAAAGAAAGAGGAGAAAGGAGGAGAAGGGTGTGATGGTGGAAGAGAAGGTGAGCCAGAAGGAGAAAGGGAAGTAGTAATGCTAGAGGAAGAGGAATAAGGAAGGGAAAACCCTCAAAGGGCTGTTTTGAAGGAGAGAAGGGAAGGGAAGGGAAGGGAAGGGAAGGGAAGGGAAGGGAAGGGAAGGGAAGGGAAGAGAAGAGAAGAGAAGAGAAGAGAAGAGAAGAGAAGAGAAGAGAAAGCAGGAAGAAGGAAGACACAATAGTAGTGGTGATGGTTATGGAGAAACAGGAGGAGGAGGGAGAGAAAAATTAGCAATGGTGGTAAGGAGGAGAAGGAAAAGGGGGAAGAGAAGGAAAATGAGGAGGAGGAGGAAGAGAAGTGGTGGTGGTAGAAGAGAAGGAAAAGATGAAAAGTCATAGTGGTGATAGTGGAAGAAAAGAACGAGAAAAGGAAGGAGAAAGGAGAAGGGAGAGGAGGAGAGACAGGGAGAAAGAAGAAGGGGAAGATATGATAGTGGAAGAGAAGGAGAATGAAGAGGAAGAGAAGTGATGGTGGTAAAAGAGAAAAGAAAAAAAGTCGTAGCAGTAATAGTGGGAGAAAAGAATGAGGAAAAGGGAGAAATACTGGTGGCAAAGGAGAAAGAGGAGGAGGAGAGAGGAGAAAGAAGAAGGGGTGATGGTGGAAGAGAAGGAGAACCAGGAAGAGAAGTAGTGAGGATGTAGGAGGAGGAATAAGGAAGAGAAACCTCACAGTGAGTAGGGCAAGAGGTTTTCAAAACTCCAAAATCACAAGCTACTTTTCTGGAAGAGGAAGAGTAGGAAACGAAAACGAAGGAAGAAAAAGCGGTGGGGGGGAAAAAAAGAGGAGAGGTGGTCGTGTTGGTGGTGATAGAAGAAAGAAAAGGGAAGGGAAGTAGTAGTAGTAATAATGGAAGAGAAGAACGAGGAGAAAGAAGTGACGGAAAAGGAGAAGGTAGAAGCAGTGGCGATGGCAAGAGAAAAGAAGGAGGAAGAGGTGACGATAGAGGAAGACCACAAAGAAAGGTACGGAGGGATGGCGGTGCTTCCAAAACTCCAGACCCAACAACAAGCGACTTTTCTCTACCTTCAAAATAAATAAATAAATAAAAGATACCCCACCACCAAAAAGGGAAAGACATCTAGAAGTCCCACCGCTCACCTCACTGCCGAGATGTTCTCCACGCCATTTTCTCATCCACCCTTGGAAGAGAACCCAACAAAAAAAAAACACAAGAGCAGGGAAGTCAACTCCAGAGGGTGGGAAGTCAACCACCCAACTGTAAGCTCCAGAAATCCAAGAATGCCTCCACACACACACACTACGCTTCTTTCCCGCTGACCTATTTAGGGCCGTCGGGACAACTCGCGACACCGCCAGGTCCACGACGCGGCCAGCATCGTCCCAAATGTGGGCTTCAAGGAATGAAGGCCACCAAGCTACTGCCGCTGCTTCTTCTCCTTCTCCTCCTTGGGAAGACACACCCACCTCAATCTAGTTAAAACACTGTTTACAACATACATACCGCCTGGTTTTCCAACAAGCCCTTTGAAGATATTAAAAATCTTTCAGCTAGTCGTCGTCGTCCCCCCTCCACACTTACCAAGGAAAAAAAAGAAAAAGTTCAATTAAAAAAGAAAAAAGAAAGAAAACTCCCAGGATATTAAGCAAGCCGATTCCACGTTCCCAGTTTTTAAAACGAAGCAAGCAAACAAAACAAACGAAAAATACCCAGGCTGCCAATTTCTCCGACGTTGGGAGGCACATTTTGGAGAAAGCTGGAGAAATTTTATTCCACTGATCGTTTAACCTTGTTAAATCAGATATAACGTGGTCCTCCGTCCGTCCCCCCCACCATAGAAAGACAACTTTTTCTGAACACCTGGTTGACACAGGAATGTTGGTGTGTTGGGAGAGTTATCTTTCCAACTTTATTATTTTTTTTAAAGAAACAGGTCCATCGTTTAAGAAGTCAACCATGCAAAACCGACTTGGAAGGTCTTCCTCAAGCAAGCCAGGAATACCATTAGAGCCCCCCAACCAGCCTTAAAAAAAAAAAAAAATGAAGCTTTAGTGGCCAACTTTATTCTCTAGAAATTCTCTTTATTTCTTTAGAAAGCTTTAGCTGCAAAATTGATTCCCGCTAACAAGCCCTGTTATTTTTTTCCTAAAGGAACAGAGAAAAGGAAGAAAATCTGGAACTTTTTAAAGCTCAGATCCAAAGACAACAATGTTACTTTTATAACTTTGGTTATCCTGGTTTGTATCAGTCCCAAATCCTAGATCATAAGCCAACATGGTTTGTCTTAACCCCTGTGGTGTATGTGCATTAGTCAGCACTGCAATTAATTACTTCCAGCAGGATTGGCAATACAAGTAATTGACAACTGTTGAGGGGAGGCCAAGTTCTTTCATTTATGGGCAACTGACACTACCAAGACAGAAATAATGCACAAAAACTTAAGACCCATCTATTATCTCCTTATAAAACTGCAGAGATTCTTTCCACTTTCTAAACACTTCTCCTTAATACTGTATCAGCCATGCTGAATAGCCAAAAACATTCTAATAAATTAGCATTTAACCATCAGGAAAATGCAATTTGATTCGCTTTCTATCTTCCTTCTTTTTTTTCCTCCCCTCAAAAACCCACGAGAAACATCTATATAAAAGGAGGAAATTTTGAACAATTTTGAAATTTTTAATTAGATCGAAATATATATATATATATCCCACCTTTCAAATGCCAAGCCGACAAAATTTGAGATTTTGTTGTTAACTTTAGGATAGTCCCCTTTCTCTTTACCAAAGACAATTTTTTTGGGGAGAAATTGAAAGAAAATAGGCAGAGAACGACTTGTTTTTTTTTTTTAAATGGAAAGTTACAAACTCTTCGGAGAAGGCGATTGGTAAACCTACTAACAAAACCAGAAAAGTGCCAGCTGGTAAAACAGATAAAGGGGGGGAGAAAAATCTTGCTACAAGACTGGTGAGCTGCCATTTCTGGTAACCTCAAGTTTGAAAGTAGTTTGAAAAGTTAGAAGAAAAAAACCCTAACTTTTCCCCTATTTTTCGAAACGAAATCAAAGTCACGGAATTCTACGTCTCCAAACTTTTCAAGTTTTCTCTTGCAAAATATCCTCCGATTAGCTAGAGACCTCCAATGGCACGGTTTTTTTTTTCTCATTTTTTTTTTTAAAAATGACATGTTCTCTCTTTTTTTTTTTTAAATGGCCTTTCCTTAAAGGTGACATGGAAAACACACACACACACATATAGACAAACTCAACCATCCAAAAACTAACATGGTCTGTCTGTTTTTCCAATGCAACCCTTGAATTAAAAAGATATATATATATAAAAAAAATCACACTTCCCCGATTTGGAGTGAGATTTCCTGTTTGGAAAAGCTAAGCGAGAAATAATACATCGGAGGGAGAGGGATGGTTTAAGAAATATGAAAATACAGCTAGAAATAACCAGACAATCCATAGTCTTATTCTGAAGACCCTCTCCCTAGTCAAGTCTCTCACCGTAGGGTTTTTCCTCGCCCATTTTGGGAGAAGGGGGCTAGCAAGCCCCCCCACCTCCCACAAGGCAGAAACAGCTGCAGGCTTGAGACCCACACTCACAAAAATACCCCCTAGGTTTCTAGTCCCTTTGAATCTAGGAGAAATAAGCTCCCCCAGATCTTTAAACAGAAGAGAAAAAAGAGAGAGAAGGAAGAAGCCATGTGGGCAAAGGTCAAACTTGGGGAGGGAATGCAGGGGGTCCCCGGTCAAGAAGGGAGTGGGGGGGAGGGAGGGAAAAGGTCGTGGGGACCTTCACCTTTCAAGCCCACCGGGGACGAAATGAAATGTCCCCCCACCCACCCAAGGGAAGGAAGCAGCCAACCTTCCCCCCCTTGATTTTGCCTATCCAAAGGTGGGCAACTTTCTTTATTACGTCCGTCCTTCCTTCTTTCCTTCCAGCCACAAACCCACCCACCCACCCACTAAAACCCCACAGCTGTTTTCTTCCACCACCATCACCACCCCCTCCCCAAACTCGGGCTGTGCAAATACACCCAATTTGCAAAAAGACCTTCGCAACTACCTGGCCAAGCAGGAACCCCAACCGAGGGGTGCGTGGGTGGGTGGGTGAGTGAATGGGTGGGTGGGCGAGTAAGTGAGTGGGTGGGCGAGTAAGTGAGTGGGTGGGGAGGGTGGGGAGTTCCTTCCCAAGGGAGGGGGGAGGTTGCTCCTCTCTCCTTCCCCTCCCTCCTTCCCTCCCCTCCCTGAAGCAGACCCCCTCCCCAAACCAAGACAGCTGCGGTTAGCTTTGCTAATGGGTCACACGCCCCTTCCCCACCTCCTCCTCTCCTCCTCCTCCTCCTCCTCCTCCTGGGAGGCCCGGGGGAGCCCCACAAGGGCAGCGCAGCAGCGCAACACACACGCACACACACAAAAAAAAACACGCGCAACCCACCCACCCACATCCACACAAAAGATGTGGAGGCAAGCAGGCAGGCAGGCGTATTCCCCATTCATTCATTCATTCATTCATTCATTCGTTCATTCATTCATTCACGCGCGCGCGCAAGCCAAAGTTTTTCTATAAGTCCATCCCGGGGACGCGCGCGGGACACGGGACCCCAACTTGAATTTAATTCTTGCCTAGGCGGATTCTTGCACTCCCTCCCCCCTCCCCAAAATTCATAAATTTTTTTATTTAAAAAAAACCCAAAAAAACACACACACACACACACACCCCAATTGTTCTGGGCAGGAGGAAGGAAGGCAGGAAGGCTGCCCCATATCGCATATTGGATTTGCAAAAAATTTGCAAAGCGCAAATTTGCAAGCGCTCCCTCCGCCCCGGGATATTGGGGCGGGGGGTTGGTGGGGGGGGGGGGGTGGGGGTGGTAGTAGTAGTGGCAGCTGCGAGTCCTTTGTGTGTTGCGCTCCAGCGGGCAAAGAAGAAGGGGGGGGGGGGAGAGAGAAAAAAAAAAGCGCAGGACTCGCACCCAGCGCCCTTGCCCGGGAGGGGAGGGGAGGGAGGGGAGGGGAGAGGGGGGGGAGTACCCCTGCCCTGCCTTGTGCCACGCAGCTCTCTTCTCTTTTTGCAAGAACCCGCGTGCATGCATGCATGCATGCATGCAATTCCCACGTCCACCCCCCCCCACGCGCGTGCACGCATTACACACAAGCGCGCGCGCAGCCTGGCTGCAAAGGGAAGACCCCCCCCCCAAAAAAAAAATCCCACCCACCCCATATTTCCCTCCCCACCCAAGTCCCAATTGCGTTGCTTACCTTTGCAAAGGCATCGCTCCGGTCCAGGCTCGGCTTCCTTCCCCCCCCCCCGCAGCCCCCTCCCCCGGGCCCCCCCGGGCCCCCCCCCCCAAAAAAAAGCCGGTTTCACCGCCGCGCGTCTCCCATCTCACCACCTTCCTCCCAGCGCCATCTTGCAAGCTTGTGACGTCGGGAAGCCGCGCTCACCCCTGACCCATATTTGAATAGAAGCCAACGGGGGTGGGTGGGTGGGTGTGGGGGGGGGGGGGAGAAAAAGGGGAGGGGGAGGAGGAGGAGGGAGGAGGGAGGGGCACCCCAGCCAACCAGCTAGCTTTCTTGCAAGGAGCCCCCCCTCCACCAAAAGCCAAGGATCAGGTCCTCTTTTTTTTTTTTTTTTGCATTGATTTGGGGCTGGGGGCTTCGGCTTGGCTTTTTTTTTTTTTGCATGCATGCAAGCAAGCAAGCAAGCGGGCGGTGGATGGGGTCGAGGGCTGCAGCCGCCCGGCTTTGCAACCCCCCCCCCGAGTCGAAGGGAGCGGTGGGGGGGGTTGGGCATGCTTTGGCCGGCGCGTGCACGCCCCACCTACCCACCCACCCACTCGCGGAACATACACGCGGGGCTCCGACCACGCCTCCCCCCCCCGTCCCCTCTCCTCTCCATCCCGGCAGATCTGGCTTGCCGGGCGTGCAAAAAGAAAAGAAAAAAGAAGAGAAAAGAAAAGAAAAGAAAAGAAAAAAGGAGGGGTGGGGGCGAAGAGAGAGTGGGGGGGGAAAGGGAAAGGGGATGCGCGGCGGGCGGGGGGAAGGCGTTAATTGGCAGGCTTCTGATGGGGTTTCTCTCTCTGTGTATCCCTCTTTCTCTCTCTCTCTTTTTCTTTCTCTCTTTCTTTCTCTCTCTCTCTGTCCCCCTCTCTCTTTCTCTCCTCTCTCTCTTTTGCTTTCTCTCTGTCCCCCTCCCTTTCTCTCTCTCTCCTCTCTCTCTCTTGCTTTCTCTGTCCCTTCTCTTTCTCCTCTCTCCTCCTCTCTCTCTTTCTCTGTCCCCCTCCCTTTCTCTCTCTCTCCTCTCTCTCTCTCTTGCTTTCTCTCTGTCCCTTCTCTTTCTCCTCTCTCTCTCTCCTTCTCTCTCTCCCTCTCTTTCTCTGTCCCCCCCTCTCTTTCTCTCCTCTCTCTCTTGCTTTCTCTCTGTCCCCCCTCCCTTTTCCTCTCTCTCCTTCTCTCTCTCTCTCTCTTCTTCTCTGTCCCCCTCTCTCTTTCTCTCTCTCTCCTCTCTCTCTCTTGCTTTCTCT